GAGCACTGAAACACCCCCAAACCATGAGCGAATCTGGGTGTTTGGTGGTCCCACAGGTGTAGCGTGGGACTAGTGGGTGGGGTGGCATTGTATGTCCGAGATCGCTTGAACTGTTGCATAAAAACGGGTATTAAGTCTGAAGTAACACATACAGAGTCTGTTTGGATAGAATTTTCAGAGGGGCATGAAAAACTAATTTTAGGAGTGATATACCGTCCCCCAAACTTAGATAGGGACCAAGGAAAACTACTATGGGAGGAAATTGTTAAGGCCACAAGGCACGATAATGTAGTAATTCTAGGAGACTTTAACTTTAGTCATGTTGATTGCAATTTCTTGACTGGGAATTTAGAATCATACAACTTCTTAGAAGTATTTCAGGATTGTTTTTTGAAGCAGTTTGTGACAGAACCTACAAGGGGAAATAACCTGCTTGACTTAGTTATGGCAAACAATGAATCCCTTGTTAATAATTTAGAAATTTCAGAGGAACTAGGTGCTAGCGACCACAAATCAATTACATTTAGCATTGAATGGAAGTACGATAGTAGCGATAACTCAGTAACAGTCCCAGATTTTCGCTTAGCAAATTACGATGGGCTTAGAGAACACTTATCATCCGTTGACTGGGGTAACGAAGAGAGCTATCAATATGGCAGTTTTCTGAACACTATACATGCTGCTCAAAGAGCGTTTATCCCATATAAAGAAATTAGATCAAATAGAAATGACCCAAAATGGATGAATAATAGGCTCAAATATATACTAGGGCATAAGAAAGGAATTTATAGGCGTATCAAAAGAGGTGAGGGTCATCTTATGAATCAGTATATTGACATTAAGAGGGACATTAAAAAGGGGATAAGAAAAGCTAAAAGGAACTATGAAATTAAAGTTGCTAGGGATTCTAAAACTAACCCAAAAAGTTTTTTCCAGGTCTATAGAACAAAAGTTAGAGATAAGATAGGTCCCCTTAAAAATAACTATGGGCACCTTACTGACAAAGAGAATGAAATGTGCTTGATTTTAAATAATTATTTTCTCTCAGTTTTTACACAGGAAGACACTAACAATATTCCAGTAATTAATTTTTACAGTGGGCTAGAAGAAGATAAATTATGTAACATCACAATCACTAGTGAGATGGTTGTGAAGCAGATAGACTGAAGCAAAATAAGTCGCCGGGCCCTGATGAGGTTTTTTCAAGGGTTCTTAAGGAATGCAAAATGGAACTCTGTGAACCATTAACTAATATTTTTAATTTATCTCTTCAAACAGGTGTAGTGTCTGATATGTGGAAGATGGCTAATGGAATTCCTATTTTTAAAACAGGGGACAAGTCGTTACCGTCAAATTACCGCCCAATAAGCCTGACCTCAATTGTAGGCAAATTACTAGAGTCAATTATAGCTGAGATTATAAGAAGCCATCTCGATAAGCATAGCTTGATTAATGATACTCAGCATGGATTCACAAGAGGCCGGTCTTGTCTAACTAATTTATTAACTTTCTTCAGTAAAGCTTTTGAGGCTGTTGACCACAATAAAGAATTTGATATTATTTACTTAGATTTTAGTAAGGCTTTTGATAGAGTTCCGCACCATAGACTGTTAAAGAAAGTGGCAGCTCATGGCACTGGGGAAAAGTGCTCTCGTGGATCGAGTCATGGCTCACTGACAGGAAGCAGTGTGTGTCCATAAATGGGGTTAAGTCCGAGTGGGGATCTGTAACAAGTGGCGTTCCACAGGGATCAGTCTTGGGCCCGTTGTTGTTTATAATATATATCAATGATCTTGATGAGGGAATTACTAGTGATATGAGCAAATTCGCCGATGACACAAAGATAGATAGGATAATTGATTCAAACGTAGATGTTATGGAACTTCAGGAGGATTTAAACAAACTCTATTCTTGGTCAGAAAAGTGGCAGATGCAGTTCAGTGTAGATAAATGCAAGGTTCTGAAGCTTGGGAGTGCCCATAACCCTAGTACTTATAAGTTAAATGATGTAGAACTTAGCCATACAGATTGCGAAAAGGACTTGGGGGTTATGGTGAGCAGCAACCTTAAACCAAGACAGCAATGCCTAAGCGTACGTAATAAGGCAAATAGATTACTGGGATTTATATCAAGAAGTGTAAGCAACAGAAGTCCAGAGGTCATACTGCAGCTTTATACATCATTAGTAAGGCCTCACCTAGATTATGCAGCTCAGTTCTGGTCTCCGTATTACAAAATGGACATAAATTCGTTAGAAAACATTCAGCGTAGGATGACTAAATTAATACATAGCATTAGAAATCTTCCTTATGAAGAAAGATTGAAGACTCTTAAGTTACATTCACTTGTTAGACGAAGAATGAGGGGAGACCTGATCGAAGTGTATAAGTGGAAGATAGGTATTAATAAAGGGGATATTAATAAAGTCTTGAGGATGTCTCTCCAAGAGAGAACCCGCAGTAATGGATTTAAATTAGATAAGTTTAGATTTAGAAAGGACATAGGAAAGTATTGGTTTGGAAATAGGGTAGTTGATGAGTGGAACAGTCTACCTAGTTGGGTTATTGAGGCTGGGACTTTGGGTAGTTTCAAATCTAGGTTGGATAAGTACATGAGTGGGAGGGGTTGGATTTGAGTGGGACTTTCACATCAGAGCTTATTTCTTGGGTGGCATTGAAGATTGGGTTGGGAAAATGTTTTGTTAGTGGGATGAATTGTAAAGGACCTGCCTGGTATGGGCCAGCGGGCCTCCTGCAGCGTTCCTCCTTTCTTATGTTCTTATGTTCTCTGGGCTGGTACACGTCCCTCATGGTTACAGGTGATGGTTAAGGTTGCTTCATCACTCCAAAATAATTCAGACCACTGTTGAGGATTCCAGTGAAGATATTTCTTTGCATAATCCAGCCTACGTTTCTTCTGTGACTTGGAGAGCCACAGAAGAAACAACAATGACTACTGTAGCCCAGTTCTGACACATATCTGCTAACAGTTCTTATAGACACCTCTTAGAGAAGATATGGGTTCTTTTCTTTCAGTTCTCTAGCAGTTATCTTAAGTGTACTCTCTAACTGCTTCTTTAACACAGTTAAGGTACAAACAGATGTCTTCTTTGAGGGGCCAGGCCGAGGTTTGCCAGATGGTAACTCAACACCTCTATCAGCCTTGAAATGCTGCACCCAGTTCCTCACTGAACACATACACACACACACACACCAACATTCTCCACTGTTTGTCGTCTGGTGCCCAGCTTTGTGAAGCCCTATGATTTGAGCTATAGTTTCAGGTGTTAAAGAATTCCTTTTACTCATAATCAAACATGTATAGCCTCAAAACCAAAGGAAACACTGGACAAAAGATGAGGAGGATGAGAGACAAAAGTGCAACACTTCCTCTCACCACGGCAGTCATGTGAGCACCTAGTCATCACTGTGGAGTGTAGTGGCAGGCCGTGACACCATGCTGCTACCTGGCATAATGCACTGACGAAAAAAGACCCCCCCCCCCGTATGGTAGGCCTTTGATTTTCGTCACAGCATTATGCCAGGGCGTTCACCCAGCATAATGCCATGACTAGCACTGTATGTATGCTGTATATTTCAAGTGGAGCAATATTGAACTAAGCATTTCTCGATGTTTAAAGTGCTAAAACATCTTTAAATACATCTAATATCGTAAGAAACCTGTGTACATAGTGTTAAACATTAAAAGCAGTTAAGATTTAGAAAAACAATTATATCTTGACATCAGTAAATTGTAAAATGTAAATATCACTGGCACATTAATGCTGCCGTTACCAATGAATGACAATTTTTTTTTGCCAAATTCAGCACATTATAAATTCATAAGTTTTTATCAGATTCCATTGAATTTAGTCTTATTCAATTTAGGTGTAAAATTTTTATTCAAAATCTTCCCCCACACACAGGAAGTCCTCGATAAGGAAAATTCTGGTTGAGTGCATTTGTGGGAGTGGGGAGGCTAGCTTGACAATGCATGAATGTGGTTACTTGAATACTAAGCATCTATATATTTCATTCAAAAATCTAAGAAAAATATAATTATTTTACTCATTACAAGTTCTTAAAAACTTGTTAAATAAAAACAAGTCTTGAACTGTTCAACCAAATACCCCACGTAAGCATAGTGAAAAATGAAAAAAAAAACTAGTAATTGATGAAAACAAATAAAAAATTCGGGGACACATTTAAAATATAAAGAAATATAAACTCGAAAAACAGATAAAAGCAACAAATAAAAACAAAAATGCCATAAAAAATTTTTTTTTATTATAATGTATAAATTGACTTGTCAAAAAATATTAATATAGAAAGCTTGATTTGAAAAAGCAGTTATGGGAAAGGCTCCTGAAAAAAGGGTTATATTTTGAAAGTCAGATGTTGCAATGCATCCAAAAATGAGGTACTCTATTGTATTTTTAGGGGAGATAAAAAAATATCAAAGTATTAGGTAAAAGGTAGCTCTTTTGGGGGTGCTTTTTTTTTTAGCCCCCCCACTGACCAACTAAAGGTTTTAATGTCTGAATAGCTAGTAGCATGTTTCCAATGGTTAAGAGAGCGCCCACTCTATATAATATTGTACATTGTTTCTTCCTGCAGTGTGTATGTCATGCTAAATGTAGATGCTAATTACATTAAATTGGTTTGCAATCTGATGAATGAGGAAGGGAATAATTACAAGGAATGGTGTAATTTTTAGGATAAGGCAAGAGTATCCTAATTTGGATGCTTGAATAAAATTAAGAAGTACTTGCTGAATTAAAGAGCAGCATAAAATATAAGGCAGTAAAACTCAAACAGTTTAAGGAAAGACTTTCTTAAAAATAATATTGAGGTAATCTGTAGGACAGATTCTAGTGTTTAAAGAAAATTTCCTGTCACATAAATTAAGAGATTAAAAAAAAAAATATAAAAAATTCCTTTATAGCAAGACTTCTTCATTCCCATTTGGAAAAATAATGGTCTACTCTCGCATATCCTCAGAGTCCCTACGACATGATGAATCCACCATTAGGTCCCAATGCTCATGATGATCTCAAAAGCAAATTACATCCACGGTCACCACACGAGCCATACCGATACTCAAGGTCGTCCTCACAACCACCTACCTACCGCTCGGATGATCCTTACAGGTAAAATATTAGTGATTAATTTCAAGTAGAAGCAATAATTATACGTGAATAGTAAAATTTCATAACTATCCTGCGTCAGGTATTTTTCAAGTACTTTGTTTGATATGCAATACACACACACACACAAAAAAAAAAGTTTCCTTAAAAGATAGATACTGTCCTTAATTTTGACTTGTGGAAATCATGATAGCTATGTTTTTCCTCAGATCATCAGACTATAAACCACTACCTCCACCAAAGAGTAGTAACTACAAACCTGTTCCACCACCCAAACCCAAAAATTACAAGCCTCAAGCTCCAGGCAGTATACCTACCAGTGTGGAAGGAGGAGTCGGACCCTGGGAAATGTACATGGATGGACGAAAAGCTTATGACCGAGGGGCTTATCATACCACCAGTAATGGAGGACTCAGTGATGACTACAGTGGCCTTGATAGTGGACAAGGAAGTAGCCTAGATAGAAAATATGATACTTTTGGCAGATCTTCATATAATAAGGTGTGCAGTCATTAAATGCTTCACAGACATTAATTTGGTCATTGATTGAAAGCAATGATATGTATAAAATGCCTTTAAATTATTTTGAAGGCAACATATGCTAAAGGGTATTGTGGTGCCTTAGAGGTAAATGTTATTCTAGGAGGTGCCTATATATAGATATTAGTGTTAGTACTGTATGCTTAAAACAAATGAACAATACTGACCCCTTCAAAGGTGACTTGATGCTTGCGAATGGCTCTTGATCCAAGGAATTGGCACTGTCCTTTCTTTCCTTAGATCAGACCTTATTGTCTTCCATTTCCTAGGCATTGTATGGCCCTTACAGGTTTAGTGCTTTTCCAACAGTAAATGCTCAGTGAAATTGTGTACAGAGCAGTGCCAAAACAACATTGAAACATTAAATAGAATACAGAGAAAGTTATAAATTTCTGTCTGTCGAAAATTTTGGAATGTTTTGCAAGAAGTGTGGAGGAAGATGTCTGGTGAAAGATGATTGAATAGTGGAAGTTTCTGTGAAAATGTGTAAGGTGGCTCCTTGCTCAGTGGTAATGCCTTTGGCTCACAGCCAAAAAATAGTCTTGGGGTGGGAATAGAGCAGGCTCATCAGAGTATTCATCTGAGAAAGTGTTTCGTAATTCACCTGAAGAAACATCACTCTTTGTAGGGAGATATGTGACATAGAAAAGCAATTTAGCAGTTTGCCAAGTTTGGAAAAAAAAATATTCCTTTATGGAAATATTATTATAGGGCAGTTATAAGCCCACATGGAAAATTGTTCAGCTTGCCTTTCCCTTCCATTATCTTCTCACTTTACCTTACCTTACCTCTTCCTCTTTATGAAACCATTTCTAAAACACCTCTATAAATCTATAGCTCTACACACTGGCTTGCATTTATCTAACACTGCAGCTTATGTTACCTGCTGAATACTAATTGAGAGTCCAGTTACCTCATGTATTGAAGATTTTTTTTTTTTTTTTAAGTCAGCCATCTCCCACCGAGGCAAGGTGACCCAAAAAGAAAGAAAATACTTTCATCATTCAACACTTTCACCTCACTCACACATAATCAATGTTTTTGAAGAGGTGCTCAGAACACTAACAGTTTAGAAGCATATATGTATAAAGATACACGACATATCTCTCCAAACCGCTAATATCCCAAACCCCTCCTTTAGAGTGCAGGCATTGTACTTCCCATTTCCAGGGCTCAAGTCCAGCTATATAAAAATAACTGGTTTCCCTGAATCCCTTCACTAAATATTACCCTGCTCACACTCCAGCAGATCGTCAGGTCTCAAATTCCATTTGTCTCCGTTCACTCCTGTCGAACACGCTCGTGCACGCCTGCTGGAAGTCCAAGCCCCTCGCCCACAAAACCTCCCTTACTCCTTCCTTCCAACCTTTTCGAGGACGACCCCTACCCCACCTTCCTTCCCCTACAGATTTATACGCTCTCCATGTCATTCTACTTTGATCCATTCTCTCTAAATGACCAAACCACCTCAACAACCTCTCTTCAGCCCTCTGACTAATATTTTTATTAACTCCACACCTTCTCCTAATTTCCACACTCCAAATTTTCTGCATAATATTTACACCACACATTGCCCTTAGACAGGACATCTCCACTGCCTCCAACCGCCTCCTTGCTGCTGCATTCACAACCCAAGCTTCACACCCATATAAGAGTGTTGGTACTACTATACTTTCATACATTCCCTTCTTTGCCTCCATAGATAACGTTTTTTAACTCCACATATACCTCAATGCACCACTCACCTTTTTTCCCTCATCAATTCTATGATTAACCTCATCCTTCATAATCCATCCGCCGACACGTCAACTCCCAATTATCTGAAAACATTCACTTCTTCCATACTCCTCCTCCCCAATTTGATATCCAATTTTTCTTTATCTAAATCATTTGATACCCTCATCACCTTACTCTTTTCTATGTTCACTTTCAACTTTCTACCTTTACACACACTCCCAAACTCATCCACTAACCTTTGCAATTTTTCTTTAGCATCTCCCATAAGCACAGTATCATCAGCAAAAAGCAGCAGTGTCAATTCTCATTTTGTATTTAATTCCCCATAATTTAATCCCACCCTTCTCCTGAACACCCTAGTATTTACTTCTTTTACAACCCCCATCTATAAATATATTAAACCATGGTGACATTACACATCCCTGTCTAAGACCTACTTTTACCGGGAAGTAATCTCCCTCTCTTCTACACACCCTAACCTGAGCCTCACTATCCTCATAAAAACTCTTTACAGCATTTAGTAACTTACCACCTATTCCATATATTTGCAACATCTGCCACATTGCTCCCCTATCCACTCTATCATATACCTTTTCTAAATCCATAAATGCAATAAAAACTTCCCTACCTTTCTCTAAATACTGTTCACATATATGCTTTAATGTAAACACTTGATGTACACATCCCCTACCCACTCTGAAACCTCCTTGCTCATCTGCAATCCTACATTCTGATTGTGCTACTGCCTGTGTACTGCAAATTGACCCCTGCAAAACAAAATGTTTAACAAATTTTTTTTTATATTGTAAAAAATTTAAACATGTAGACTATCATGGGTAGCTAAAAACATTGTTGATAAAGGTGTGCAATGTTAAGCTAGAATTCTGGTCCTTGTACTCTTAAATTTTAAAACCTTGTAAAATCTGATATCTGGCAATTGGTTTGATTCCAGTCATACTGGATTACTATTTTTCTGTAATTTCCATATCTGAGGTAAAACAGGTACAGTAGCTGACTAGTTAACCTATACAAAAAGTATTGTCATGGGTAAAGTAAAGAGGGTGCTTTTTTACCTATTGATTGCTCATTAGCTTCACTCACATTAGAACCATATGAAAGTCAAAATCTGTAATGCCATAAAGTACTACTGCTTCAATATTTTGTCTTTTCCCACATTATCCATTATAAAGACAAACATGAAGATCAAGAAGCAACATGTATATAATCCACAGTGCAGTAGACATACAAATTCTAAGGGTTAGGTTAATGAACTATCTATGAATTTGCCAGGTATAGTTTATAATGGTTCAAGAATTATAGTGAAGATTAGAGTGGTTCCAGAGATCCCCAAGTCATCCTTTGCTGATCTCCAGCTATAAACAGATTACTAGGGAAGCAAATAGAGCCAAAGAATTAATAACTGCAAAACTAAAGTGAATGGTGAAAGTGCTTCTTTTTTGGGCCACCCTAAAGTGGGCAACCCCTATGGGTCACACAGTGCTGCAGGCAGGGATGTGAGAAAGTAGGAATGTGCAAAGTTTAGGAGTGAGGGAGGGGTAGGGGTGTGAGGGTCAGGGTTAATGAAGATGGGGTATAATAAAAAATCTAAATCCAAGTTGGAGCAATAGGCTAGAGAGCGAGAGTGTGTGTGTACTCACCTAATTGTGGTTGCAGGGGTCAAGGTTCAGCTCCTGGACCCACCTCTTCACTGAGTGCTACTAGGTCCTCTCCCTGCTCCATGAGCTTTACCCTGCCTCATCTTAAAGCTATGTATGGTTCCTTCCTCCACTACCTCACTTGCTAGGCTAATCCACTTCCTGACTACTTTATGACTGAAGAAATACTTCCTAACATCCCTTCGACTCATCTGGGTCTTCAACTTCCAATTGTGACCCCTTGTTTTTGTGTCCCCTCTCTGGAACATCCTCTGTCCACCTTGTCTATTCCACGCAGTATTTTGTATGTCGTTATCATGTCTCCCCTAGCCCTCCTGTCCTCCAGTGTCGTCAGGCCAATTTCCCTTAACCTTTCCTCAAAGGACATTTCCCTTAGCTCTGGAACTAACCTTGTTACAAACCTTTGCACTTTCTCTAATTTCTTGTCGTGCTTGATCAAGTGTGGATTCCAAACAAGTGGTTGGTTGGTGTGTGTGTGTTTGTTTTAGAGGTGGTACACTGTTTAAAAATCAGTTCCTTATAACTGAGGAAAATATTTGTAATTATCTGTTGTAAGTTGCAAGTGGTGGTCTCTCATTGTTGCTTCTGCCTTTTAACTTTCCTTTGACTAACATTATGTATTGTAATTATATTTGTTCTCCATGGGGAAGTGGAACAAAAATCCTTCCTCCATAAGTCATGGACATTTTAAGAGGCAACTAAAATGCTGGTAGCAAGGGGCTAGTAACTCCTTCTCCTGTATAAATTACTAAATTTAAGAAGAAAAACTTTTTTTTTTTTTTTTTTTTTTTTTTAGGACACCCTGCCTTGGTAGGATACAGCCGGTTCATTGAAAAAAATACATAGTATGTATATTTGTACCCCAGTAAGGAGTTGCTTCTTTACACTTACGTTGGACAGATAGTGTTTCCTGTCTCTGTTTTGGTCGAGTGTGTAACTTTCATCTGTGTCCCCATTTTCTAGAAGAATGATGAGAATTGATCCTGTCCTTGTTTACCAGTATTTATATTCATGGGATAGTTCTAAACCCATGTCATACAGCACTTGTCTATGCCACTGCATTATGAGAGTTATGAAATCCAGACATTTTAGTAGTACAGCCTCTTTTCACTTAGCAACATACTTGTTTACTCACTACTCGGACTTATGACGGGTTCACTGACCAGTATTCATACCTAAATAATATATATTAGAGCTAATTTCCTCTATTCTGTTTATTACAATATGCAGTACACTACTGTATAAACATTTAAAAATATACTAAAAATGTTACAAATGGGGCAAGGGTGACATTAAAACAATATCAAAGTTGGTCAATACAAACCCACTACCATTATAGTATGCTCCTTGCTTAGCTACAAATTCATTTACCAACATGGTTTTAGGAAAGGAACTCAGTCATTAAGTGAGGAGAGGCTGTAGTAATATGTTCTAGGCCTAAAGTGTGTGCCAAAACTCACATGAAATATTCTTTACTTTGTTACAAACATTAATCCCATGATTGATGCCAGGTTTGTCAGAAGTCTATTTATGTCACCTTTTTTGTTTGTCAAGCTGAATGTAGAATGCTGAAACCAGTCATTTTTTCCACAAATATACTGAAAATATTTTAAATGTAAAGACATTTGTGTTAATTTTGTTATACTTGCAAGCTGATTGTCAATATTGTACAGTACGAAAAAGAATCTTTTTTATATTCCGCTAAGTAATGGTGGTAGAATAATACATAAAATTTGGTATTTTAATTTGTTTTGAGGAAGTTTTGAACCAAGTCTCTGTTTTCATTGCTAATACAGTACTTTTAAAACTAACAAAGAATGTACTTTCAAGTCTCCTCTTATCAGATTAAATCATTCAAAAGGATAAATGAAAATTTATCCTATTATGTACTTTCCTTTACTCTATACATGTATCACATATTTCAGGTGGCATCGGGCAGAAGTGGATATTACCTCAATGTTCCTCCTCCACGAGATATAGTTCCTGGAAGTAGTCAGCATGGAGGGGGACCTGCTGGTAGGGACTTGCCCAATCATGACCACAGAGGAAGTGCATTTGAGTTATACAAAAAGCCCCCTGATCCCCGTGGCCAACCAGGAGGTCATCCTGCTTTGCCTGTGTACACAGACCATGGAAACAGGTGAGAGATGAATGATGTAGACATACAGAGAAGTTCAGAATCCTTCAGCACCATTCTCAAGCAATGCTGATAATGACCATGTGGTTCAAATTATAAATACACCAGTTGGTGTACTTACATGTCAATTTTACCTTATGTAATAGATTCAGTTCATTTCTTTTATTATGTAGTTTTATAAAAGACACAAAAAATGGGGAACCACAGACATCAAAGGAATAACATATCTATAACACTGGTAATAAAGTGACATATGTGAAGCGCTAAGCGATATGCAGGTGCATATATCCACTGAAATCTTAACACTACGTTATGCCCATTATATTTCGTATTATTTACCTTCATGATACAAGGATAAAGAATAAATTACAATAAATATTAAACAAATATGATTTTACATTATTTTACGAGTTAAAGGGATAGGATGATGTTAGCTCTTAATATTTCTTTTATTTCATGTTTTTATTGATTAAGCTGCTGAATTGAGGAAAAGGTGCTTGTTGCAGAAGCAACTTTTGTTGGGATAATATTTAACTCTGTTAGAGTTTTATAGTCATATAACATGGTAAAATTTTAACAAAGTGAAATATCATGCTTGTTCTGTGATGTCATTACGTCAGTATGTCATTTGGATCCATTATGGAGTTTCTGACCTCTCTACACAGTGCAAATTAAGAAATTGTGTAAAAATACTATTTAAACTCTTTTTATAGGTGCCACCCGTGTCTTTTCTACAATATTTCTAGCAGTACACCATTCAGAGCTGGCATATAATACATTGTGGAGCTGAGCATTATCTTCACATAATTTTATTAAGTTTTGTATAGATATTGCCGTTACTGGATAAATGATTAATGGGCGTTATTAAAGTTTAAGAGTAGCAACAATTACTGAATGGTTAAAAGTCACAACAAGTTAACCCATCACAAAAAAAAAAAAATGCTGAAATTTGTTACCCCATTAGCTATTATGAGAGCTATATAAAGAATGGAATTTGTTTTATTTATCTCCATTCCATGCACATATTTCTTTAATTTTTGAAGACCATGTTTATAATGCCATCCATGTTTAATCTTCTGGATAGAAACTTTGAACTATGCTGTGTTTAATAGGTGAGGTGACATCAGAGTTTATGTATGTTTTTGTGTAAGAAGAGATTATGTATATAGATAGAAAGTGTGTGTGTGGGTGTGCATGTGTATATAATATATATATATATATATATATATATATATATATATATATATATATATATATATATATATATATATATATATATATAATATATATATATATATATATTTTTTTTTTCAACAAGTCGGTCGTCTCCCACTGAGGCAGGGTGACCCAAAAAAGAAAGAAAATCCCCAAAAAGAAAATACTTTCATCATCATTCAACACTTTCACCACACTCACACATTATCACTGCTTTTGCAGAGGTGCTCAGAATACAACAGTATAAAGATACACAAGTATAAAGATACACAACATATCCCTCCAAACTGCCAATATCCCAAACCCCTCCTTTAAAGTGCAGGCATTGTACTTCCCATTTCCAGGACTCAAGTCTGACTATATGAAAATAACCGGTTTCCCTGAATCCCTTCACTAAATATTACCCTGCTCACACTCCAACAGATCGTCAGGTCCCAAGTATCATTCGTCTCCATTCACTCCTATCTAACACGCTCATGCACGCTTGCTGGAAGTCCAAGCCCCTCGCCCACAAAACCTCCTTTACCCCCTCTTTCCAACCCTTTCGAGGACGACCCCTACCCCTCTTTCCTTCCCCAATAGATTTATATGCTTTCCATGTCATTCTACTTTGATCCATTCTCTCTAAATGACCAAACCACCTCAACAACCCCTCTTCTGCCCTCTGACTAATGCTTTTATTAACTCCACACCTTCTCCTAATTTCCACACTCCGAAATTTCTGCATAATATTTACACCACACATTGCCCTTAGACAGGACATCTCCACTGCCTCCAACCGTCTCCTCGCTGCTGCATTTACCACCCAAGCTTCACATCCATATAAGAGTGTTGGTACTACTATACTTTCATACATTCCCTTCTTTGCCTCCATAGATAACGTTTTTTAACTCCACATATACCTCAACGCACCACTCACCTTTTTTCCCTCATCAATTCTATGATTAACCTCATCCTTCATAAATCCATCCGCCGACACGTCAACTCCCAAGTATCTGAAAACATTCATTTCTTCCATACTCCTCCTCCCCAATTTGATATCCATTTTTTCTTTATCTAAATCATTTGATACCCTCATCACCTTACTCTTTTCTATGTTCACTTTCAACTTTCTACCTTTACACACATTCTCAAACTCATCCACTAACCTTTGCAATTTTTCTTTAGCATCTCCCATAAGCACAGTATCATCAGCAAAAAGTAACTGTGTCAATTCCCATTTTGAATTTGATTCCCCATAATTTAATCCCACCCCTCTCCCGAACACCCTAGCATTTACTTCCTTTACAACCCCATCTATAAATATATTAAACAACCATGGTGACATTACACATCCCTGTCTAAGACCTACTTTTACCGGGAAGTAGTCTCCCTCTCTTCTACACACCCTGACCTGAGCCTCACTATCCTCATAAAAACTCTTTACAGCATTTAGTAACTTACCACCTATTCCATATACTTGCAATATCTGCCACATTGCTCTCCTATCCACTATCATATGCCTTTTCTAAATCCATAAATGCAATAAAAACTTCCCTACCTTTCTCTAAATACTGTTCACATATATGGTTCAATGTAAACACTTGATCTACACATCCCCTACCCACTCTGAAACCTCCTTGCTCATCCGCAATCCTACATTCTGTCTTACCTCTAATTCTTTCAATAATAACCCTACCGTACACTTTTTCTGGTATACTCAATAAACTTATTCCTCTATAATTTTTACAATCTCTTTTGTCCCCCTTCCCTTTATATAAAGGGACTATACATGCTCTCCGTCAATCCCTAGGTACTTTCCCCTCTTTCATACATTTATTAAACAAAAGTACCAACCACTCCAACACTATATCCCCCCTGCTTTTAACATTTCTGTCATGATCCCATCAGTTCCAGCTGCTTTACCCCCTTTCATTCTACGTAATGCCTCACGTACCTCCACCACACTTACATTCTGCTCTTCTTCACTCCTAAAAGATGGTATACCTCCCTGGCCAGTGCATGAAATTACCGCCTCCCTTTCTTCCTCAACATTTAAAAATTCCTCAAAATATTCTCGCCATCTGCCTAATACCTCCCTCTCCCCATCTACTAACTCCCCTACTCTGTTTTTAACTGACAAATCCATACGTTCCCTAGGCTTTCTTAACTTGTTTAACTCACTCCAAAATTTTTTCTTATTTTCATTAAAATTTCTTGACAGTGCCTCTCCCACTCTATCATCTGCTCTCCTTTTGCACTCTCTCACCACTCTCTTCACTTTTCTTTTACTCTCCATATACTCTGCTCTTCTTATAACACTTTTGCTTTGTGAAAGCCTCTCATAAGCTAACTTTTTCTCTTTTATCATACCCTTTACTTCATCATTCCTCTTTCCTCCTGCCCCCACCCTCCTATAACCACAAACTTCTGCCCCACATTCTAATATTGCATTTTTAAAACTCATCTAACTCTCTTCAACCCCCCCAACTACTCATCTTTGCACTAGCCCACCTTTCTGACAATAGTCACTTATATCTCACCCGAACTTCCTCCTCCCTTAGTTTATACACTTTCACTTCCCGCCTACTTGTTGTTGCCACCTTCCTCTTGTCCCATCTACCTCTTACTCTAACTGAAGCTATAACTAAATAATGATCCAATATATCAGTTGCCCCTCTATAAACATGTACATAATACATAATCTAACAAACTACTTTCATTACGTGCTACATCATACCTTGTATATTTATTTATCCTCTTTTTCATAAAATATGTATTACTTATTACCAACTCTCTTTCTACACATAGCTCAATTAAGGGCCCCCCATTTACATTTACCCCTGGCACCCCAAATTTACCTACTACTCCCTCCACAACATTTTTACCCACTTTAGCATTGAAATCCCCAACCACAAGTACTCTCACACTTGGTTCAAAACTTCCCACGCATTCACTCAACATTTCCCAAAATCTCTCTCTCTCTCTCCTCTACACTTCTCTCTTCTCTAGGTGCATATACACTTACTATAACCCACTTTTCACATCCAACCTTTATTTTACTCCACATAATCCTTGAATTAATACATTTATAGTCCCTCTTTTCCTGTCATATCTTATCCTTCAACATTATTGCTTCTCCTTCTTTAGCTCTAACTCTATTTGAAACCCCCTGACCTAATCCCATTTATTCCTCTCCACTGAAACTCTCCCACCCCCTTCAGCTTTGTTTCACTTAAAGCAAGGACATCCAGCTTCTCATTCATAACATCCACAATCATCTCTTTCTTATCATTTGCACAACATCCACGCACATTCAGACTTCCCACTTTGACAATTTTCTTCTTCTTATCCTTTTAATTAATCTTTACAGGAAAAGGGGTTACTAGCCCATTGTTCCCGGCATTTTAGTTCAATTTTACAACACGCATGGCTTACGGAGGAAAGATTCTTATTCCACTTCCCCATGGATATAAAAGGAAAAGTAATAAGACCAAGAACTATTAAGATAAACTCAAAGAAAACTCAGATGAGTGTGTATAAATAAACGTGTACATGTATGTGTAGTGTGAGCTAAGTGTAAGTAGAAGTAGCAAGACATACCTGTAATCTTGCATATTTATGAGACAGACAAAAAAAAAAACCAGCAATCCTACCATCATGTAAAACAATTACAGGCTTTTGTTTTACTTTCACTTGGCAGGACGGTAGTACCTCCCTGGGTGGTTGCTGTCTACCAACCTACTACTTTATATATGTATATATATATATATATATATATATATATATATATATATATATATATATATATATATATATATATATACATATACTTTTTGCTGATGATACTGTGCTTATGGGAGATTCTAAAGAAAAATTGCAAAGATTAGTGGATGAGTTTGGGAATGTGTGTAAAGGTAGAAAGTTGAAAGTGAACATAGATAAGAGTAAGGTGATGAGGGTATCAAATGATTTAGATAAAGAAAAATTGGATATCAAATTGGGGAGGAGGAGTATGGAAGAAGTGAATATTTTCAGATACTTGGGAGTTGACGTGTCGGCGAATGGATTTATGAAGGATGAGGTTAATCATAGAATTGATGAAGGAAAAAAGGTGAGTGGTGCGTTGAGGTATATGTGGAATCAAAAAAACGTTATCTATGGAGGCAAAGAAGGGAATGTATGAAAGTATAGTAGTACCAACACTCTTATATGGGTGTGAAACTTGGGTTGTGAATGCAGCAGCGAGGAGGCGGTTGGAGGCAGTGGAGATGTCGTGTCTAAGGGCAATGTGTGGTGTAAATATTATGCAGAAAATTTGGAGTGTGGAAATTAGGAAAAGGTGTGGAGTTAATTAAAGTATTAGTCAGAGGGCAGAAGAGGGGTTGTTGAGGTGGTTTGGTCATTTAGAGAGAATGGATCAAAGTAGAATGACATGGAAAGCATATAAACCTATAGGGGAAGGAAGACGGGGTAGGGGTCGTCCTCGAAAGGGTTGGAGAGAGGGGGTAAAGGAGGCTTTGTGGGCGAGGGGCTTGGACTTCCAGCAAGCGTGCATGAGTGTGTTAGATAGGAGTGAATGGAGACGAATGGTACTTGGGACCTGACGATCTGTTGGAGTGTGAGCAGGGTAATATTTAGTGAAGGGATTCAGGGAAACCAGTTATTTTCATATAGTCGGACTTGAGTCCTGGAAATGGGAATTACAATGCCTGCACTTTAAAGGAGGGGTTTGGGATATTGGCAGTTTGGAGGGATATGTTGTGTATCTTTATACGTATATGCTTCTAAACTGTTGTATTCTGAGCATTTCTGCAAAAACAGTGATAATGTGTGAGTGTGGTAAAAGTGTTGAATGATGATGAAAGTATTTTCTTTTTGGGGATTTTCTTTCTTTTTTGGGTCACCCTGCCTCGGTGGGAGACGGCCGACTCGAAAAAAAAAAAAAAAAAAAAAAAAAATTATATATATATATATATATATATATATATATATATATATATATATATATATATATATATATATATATATATATATATGTGTGTGTGTGTGTATATATATATATTACACACACACACACACACTCACAGACTGTACATATTATATTGTGGCGAGTATATGTTATGTCCAATAACCTGAAACGGTTAATTTCTCATAGTCAGAATAGATTTTATTTTAAAATTATCCTAGTTCACTAATTCTGTTTACTTGGCACAAAATGTACACACATGTATGACAAGTTATAACAAGACAGTAACTTTGACTCCAACAAAAGTTATTATTCTGAATGGTCTCCTCTTATGGGCAGGTGGGAGGTTATTGGAGTTTAAATTTACCATGTTTATGGGATAACAACAAGAAGGGAGACTCATGGCTTGTGGGTGGAGAAGTAAGTATGTGAATTTATATGCTGTATTTTTTAATGTGGCTATATTGAGGCGGTGATTGGGTGTATCTTAATATGACAAAAGAAGCCTAAGGATGATGTAAACATAGTATTTACTGCCTAGTGCTAAATATAGTTTATTGCCCAGAGGTAGTTAACGTAGTCTTGTGGTGAAAACTATTCACTGCTAGTCCAATGCACAAAGGCTTAATTTACTATTTTGTTTACTGTATATCTTTTGTTTTCATCCTTAGTGCTTATTTGGCTTTCTAATTTTTTGCTAATAACTTAATAAAATGATAATTGTATGAATTAGAAAAAATGGCCAGTAACTTGCATCAGAGTAATAATAACCCTGTGAAGATTGTACTGTATTGCTCCTCTGTCATCAGCTGTGTTAATGCAACATTTTCTTCCAAATAACTCTTCAACCCTTTCTAAAGTATTATCCTACTACTTTATGCTCTTCTTATATGCACCACTGGTTAGGGATGTTCCTATTCTAAGGTAAACTCTAACTGGGAATTTTTGTGATACATGTTGGCAGAAATGCAACAGTGTCTTCCTACATTTCTTGCATCCTGGCTCCCTTAAGCCTAAGGTGTCTTTTGCACTTCTTTGTGCATGTAGCACAAATTTTATGTTTTCCAACAGCCAAACCTACAAAGAGCAGGGAGTCAAGGAAAGTAATGAAAATCCTCCTGTGATAATTTTCTCTAAAGCTGTCAGCATAACCATTAACCACATGGAATAATTAAGGGTTAACAGCTCGCCCAGGATCTTCCCTTTGGCTGTCTTTTTGTACCGTGATCATTGCTGGAACTATCATAGGCTTATTTGTCTAACCGAGGCTGTGCCCACCACTCAGCAGGCGGTCGGTGGCAGAGGAAGGCAAACATAAGGTGATAGCCACGGCACGAGGGGTGTTTGATCACAAGGGGGGCACACTCACCTCTGAGGAAACAGGCGTGTCCATAGTCATTCCCCAAGGGGCCATAACCAAGGGCACGAAACAGGAGGTTTACTTCAAGGTGTGCCAGGACAACTCGCTGGTCCCTCCGCTCGACCAGAACAGAGGTCAGTTAGGGGAGGTACCACGGAGGCTTTTCCAGCATTATCAAAATACTCTGGTTCTTAAAAAAAAAAAAAAAAATTAATATGTTCATGAAAATTCATTCACTACATAAATAGAAATTAACCCATGAAAACATTATACTATACTACAGTTAGTGAATAAATGAATCAAAATCATTAGGCACCTCTGGGGAGAACTGGTAAAGCCTCCAAGGTTAGAGAATGGACTTCCCACTTTGAAGAGTGAGGCCTGGATTGCTGATTGTGTCCTCCCTTTGCTTGTGGGATGCTGCTAACCCTTCTAACCACTATAGCCCTTGATTAATTCCTTCTTACTAATATGCCTTGTGTTAATCCTGCCTGCCATAACCTCATGATTTTGTGAACCAGTGCTATGTACCTGTTTTACTAACTTATTAGTGTGCATATGACCAGATCAGAACTAACTACAGTGTTATAGTTAGTAAAAATTTTCATAAAATTATTGAAAGTAATAATTTGCCTGAAGTATGCATTCAGAGCCACAAGTGGCATATTGTATATTATTATTTTATCATAAAAATACCTGGAATGCTGTTTAGAGTTTTTTTGCATACAGTACTGTAATAGTAGTGAATGCTCGCCCTTGTATTATCCCATCCCCCCCCCCCCCCATTTCACTCACTGAATTGGTTTAACCACAGCACATACCATCACAGAGTGCACACAGGAGTATGATTTCCTTGCACATTGTAATCTTAGAGTACATATTTAGATTAGCAGTAACAGCCCACATCATGCTGACTGAATTTCAATCTTCACAGGGGATTTATGGCATTAATTTACTTTATTTATTTTGTGGAAAGACTATATACGACTTTTACTTAAGATGGTTATTCTAAAGAGCAGACCTGCAGTGTAAAGATTACTTCTGACATATCGGAAAGACACCTGAGTTTTAAACTAGTAGTTGGGAAAATCAGGGTTGCAAAAGTCATGGATGCAAAACCCATATCTTAAAAGATTTGAATTGAGTTAAGCTAGGCATAGTAGATAGAGGTGAAAAGATAAAATAGAATGTGTGAAAAAAAAAGTGTGGAATATAGTATTGTTTAATCATAAATGTGTAATATTTATTGATCAAACATGCATGGAGAGATTCTTCATGATCTGTAGTGTTAGAGATTCAGGGAACACTGATTAAGTTTTGGGAGAATGATGTCATATATTCAGTTGTTTAAGAATATTTTGTTTATTCATCTTTCTGTGGCTCTTGTCTTCCTTTTCAGGAATTCCTGTCGAGTTGACAGCGAGAGAAATACCTGGATACCTTTGCTAAACATGTTTTACCTCTTGTGCGTCATACTTCCTTTTACCTCTTATAAAACCTTTCACTTCTTTCATTCCAGCACACTTCTACTTCTGTATCATTTTGATTTATTTTATATAATTTAGAAGCATACACTTAGCAGTTTGGTATACAGTTAATTTTTTCTACTGGTCTTTACCTCATGAAGTTAGTTTCAATCGATTCATTCAGTGATCTCCTGTCATTGGTTTTCTCTACACCTGAACTTTTCTTATTCTCTTCCATCTGGTACATCACGTGTATATTATGAACTGAAATTACATCATCTTAGTTTCTTGTTGCCAAGGGATTGGAAATGCTTTCCGAGGATTCATTAACTTCCCTGCTTTGCATTGCTCTCTCCCATTTTCTCTTGTGTCACAATATGCAGTACTTACCCAAAGAAAGGAAAGGGGTATGTGTGCATACATGTGGTTGCAGGGCCCCACTTCTCAACTTGCCACTTGCCAGATTCAGTCCCTCCTAGTCTCTAGGCCCTATCATACCTGCTCTAAAAGTTATGTATTGAGTGTGCCTACACCACTACATCACCAAGATCATGTCACTTTCCAATCACTGAGACAGAAGAAATATTTCCTGGCATCCTTGTGGCTCGTGTGTGTCTGACTTCTGGGTATGTCCCAGAGTTCCCATATCTCGCTTCTAAAACATCGTGTTGCTGTCTACCCTATCAGTTCCCCTAAATATTTTGTATGCTGTCAAATCTCCTCTGGTTCTTCTATCCTCCAGTGCCGTTAAATTTGGCGACATTAGCTACTCCTTGTAGCTCATGTCTCTTAACTTAGGAATAAGCTTTGTTGCGTACTTTTGCATTTTCTCCAGTTTCCTAACATGCTTCCTCAGGTGTGGATTATATACTGATGCTGCATAATCCAAGATGGGCCTGGCACACAGTAAACCCTTAATATCAGGGACTAATAGGGGGATTTTTCCAAGTGTTCGTTAAGTCAGATTATAGAATAGAAATAAAATGCACTAAAGTACGTACTGTACTATATACCTAGTATAGCACAGGCAGGCCCTGCTTATACAGCAGGTTAGGTTCTGGCCTACTGGCAGAAAGCGAAAATTGCTGTAAAGTGAAACAGCCTTTTTTTCACTTTCAAACACATATAAAAACCTGATAATATGTTTACACTATTATATATTAAGTGAGCAATAGAGCTAGGCCTAAAAAATACATATACAGTACACAAATTACTTAAAATATTTTCAAATGAGTGGTGAATATATTTATTATAGGAAGTCTTAATAAAATGCAGAAATGGGTATAATTGAAAACTGCTGCATTAGCAAAATGCCATATAGTGAAGTGCTGTAAAGTGGGGTCTGCCTGTACTTGCACACAATTTTTAGATATATTGCAATAAACATTGAAAATGAAGGAATTAAAAGTAAAATTTACCCAGTGGATTTTGCCTTTTGTTTTAAAAGTCTCTTATATTGAGGGTTTACTCTGTGTAATATAAAGTGCCCAGAAAGACACACTATTGAGTTTCCTGAAAGCTGCTCTTACATTTGCAAGGCAAGCATTGGCTGCAGAGGTTATTCAGTAGACATGAGCCTCTGGCAAAATGCTAGACATTATACTCACCACTAGGTCTTTTTCTCTATGTGAGGTCTGAAACCTCTGTCAAGTCTTCTGTTCCCATTCCCGATCTTCAAGGTCTTGTATTTACCGACGTTGAATTGAAATAGTCACTTATCTGACTAATCTTACAGTTTACCCAGATTCATTTGCAGTCTTTCCCATGTCCTCATCTATTTTTACTCTTCTCATCAGTTTTACATCAGTAAACAGATACATCTGAATCAGTCCCTTCTAGAATATCACATAAACCAGAAACAGTACTGGACCTAATACTGATCCTTGTCATACCCTGCTTGTTACACTTCCCCATTCCTGACTTTTCTTCCTAGACAGTCACTCTTTGCCTCCTTCCTGTGAAGTATTCTTTGATCCACTGGAGCATGTTTCCTGTTATTCCTGCCTGCATCTCAAGTGTTTGCCCCAGTCTCGTGAGGGGATACTGTATCAAATGCCATCCTGCGGTCTAAGAAAATGCAGTCCACCCAGCCCTCTCTCTCATGTCTCACTTACATTACTGTGTCATGGAATTCCAACTGGTTGGTAAGGCCAGATTACCATCTCTGAACCCCTGCTGGTTACTGTTTATGAAACCACTTCTCTCCAAGTGCTCTACCATTTTCCTTCTATCTTCTCCATTACCTTTCAGGAGATGCATGTCAGCAAAGCTGGCCTGTAGTTCAGTATTTTCCGCCTGTCTCTTTCTTGATTATAAGTATTATATTCGCTGTCTTACAGATCTCTGGCAGCTGTCCCGTGTTCATCGGCTTTTAGATCTCAGCTAGTGGTTCAGACAATGCTTCTGCTCCCTCTTGCAGATCTATGGTGACATCTTGTCAGGTGCCACTGTCCCTGATGTATTCATCTCCATCAGAAGTTTTTGTTACCTTTTCATGCACGTGTACACATACAGTGTGTGCACGTGGGTATTTTGCTTGTTCCATGAGGTGTGTCTGCAGGATTGAAATTTGCACCTACCCCACCTCCTAAGCTGTTCTGAATGGGATCACTAATGTCTGGCTTTTTCATCTTTATCATATCTAGTCTCAGAGCTGTTTATCACCTCTGCCTCATCCAAGTCATTCCACTTTTCAACCACCCTATGTTGCCACGAGGGTTTAGGGCAGCTGAGTGACATTGGGAGGAGGAAGTCTGAGACTGGTTAGGCAACACTGAGCCATTGTATATGCTTGTGCGTGCATTTGTAAAAAAAAAAAAAAAGGTGAAATTGTCCATTTGAAGTCACAGAAGCAGAGTTAAGTTTGTGGTGTTCCATCTTCAGTACATAGCTAAACAAAGTATTTAAAAGTTTCCAGTGGTTGTAGCACTTGCTGTCTTCTCCTGTAAACCATTCTTTTGTTTAGCTACAGTAAACAAGGAAAACTTTCTATTGTTGTTGAGGCAGCTTTTTCTTAGTTTGTAGTTATAGCTTTTTGATGAGATTGGGAAGCCTGCCATATCAATTCTTTTGTATACTTTTTATGATCTTTAATGTGATTATCATGTCTCCTCTCTTGTCAGCCAAAAATGGCATGTTCTTTAGCTGTGGGAGCTATTCACAGCTTGTGCTTGGTTTTTATTTTTTGACTGTCCCTTGTGTAACATTTTAATTTTGGTCTAAAGTATTATGTCAACACTTTCTCAGCATTTCCTCATCCATATATCTAAATGATATTTTAAAGTTTGTAAGTGTTGCACAGGAGTTTCTCACTGCAGTATTTAATTTCTGTGATGTTCCAGTGAGTCTTTTAGGTCATTATCTGATGCTTTTCACATTTTATCACCATCTACATTAATGTGGCCTGTTTCTACTATTTATGTGTTACAAATAAAACATTATATAAGAGAAAAAAGGTGATAATGAATCATTTCAACAGCTCATAATCATCATCTCCACTTTGTCAGACTCACCATATTCACAAAAAAGCACTAAATCTATATGGCATGTGAAGGGTAAACTCGGGTGCAAGATGATTATACGGTTAATTTTCATTATCATTATTATATTAATGGAGACTAGCTAAACCCATAGGGATCATACAGTGCCTGTGGAATGGGAGGCAATAA